TTTTCACAATAAGCTTGAAATGTAGGGACATTTTGTGCCAATTACCCTTCTATTTTCATTTCATTTTCACTTGTTTGCTTTCGTAAATGCTAGCTCGGCTTTTTTAAATTCCTATGCACTTTCTGTCAAATGTTTTTGTATCGATAGTGCTATTGAATTCAAAAATGCACTTTTAGGCGGAAAAAATAAGAGAACGCTTTGCCTATATTTGTAGGGGATTAAAATCTATTTTTTGGTAAATTTCAATAAAAGTTGATGAAATGTATGGTTAAAAAATTGTATGTTTCATAAAATATGTAATTAAAATTAATTATTGACATTGACTTAAATTAAAAACAAGGATTTTTTCTTGTTCTGGATCACGATAAGTTGTCTTTTTTCTCGTATGCTTGTTTGGATACTTCTTATCTTTGCTTTTCTTCGATAAAGTCATAATACACCTAGTTTTACAATTGGAACGCGATTTTCTACTGGTTTTTGTACGAGCTAGGAAAGGTTTTCTAAACATCTTCACACGTTTATATACAAGGAATATAACCAAAAACAAAAAATAAAAATAAAATTTGAAAAGCATAGAATAAGAATGTTAATAACAATGAGATGGGTTGGATAACTTTTGATTTAACAAGTCGTATCTGCAACTTTTTAGGGTGGAGGATTAGGATTTTAAGCATAATTTTAGGAGCTATTGCTAATTAAGAACCTATTAATTAATTTTAAATTTTAAATATGGTTATAATTCATTTAAGTAACATTAGTAATATGTATAATTCAGGTTTCAAATAATCAAACTCGAAGAGAGAATTGGTAGTTTTCATGAAATAAAACGACAACAAAACGCCGTCTGTGGGAATCGAACCCACGACCACGTGGTTAAAAGCCACGCGCTCTACCGGCTGAGCTAAGACGGCTCAGTACTACAGGTTTGATTTTTTAATTAATATTGCCAAGACTCCGGTAAATCATGACCTCAACAAAACACAACTCAGCGCATAAACTTTACGATCAAACTACTTTTGCCCGAATTTTTTTGACATAATGGTTGACATTCTCTCATATGTAAGTGAGTCTCACGTGAATAAAAAATTCAAAGAAGAAGTGGGCCTCTAATTGTGAGTGTCGATCATTCGTTATGTCAAAAAAATTCGATCACATTGTTCTAAACTTTAGGGGGAAAAAATTATATTCTAGATTCACACTGGATGCAGTTCACATAGAATACTCTCTTCAAATTAAACTTGTACATTCTACTTAGTCGTGTATTATATATTAGATTTCTTAATTGTGTTGAAGAAATAGTTTATAAGAGGAAGTGATGAACCAACTTATGATTAGTTCTCAACTTGGAAAGAATTTATAAATAGATAAAAATGAATAGTGAAGCATATTTGTGGGTCCATTGTAAACAGGTAAAACAAAAGAGGACATTAAGACCAATTTCAAGATCTTGGTGATAGAAAATACAAATAAAAAAACCTAAGGAACAAGGTTCTCCACACACAAACATCTTCGATCGATTCAAAATAAAACTATAATTCACAATTACTACGTGTCTACGTGTCAAGAGAAAAAAATTCAACAAAGATTATATTGAAGATGTACGGAGAAATTAGTATATGCTCTTTTATTTATAGCTAAACGTGCATGGATAACTATTACTACCTCATTTTGTATAAAATTGTTGCGATAGGATTAGCATAAACTTGTTATGTGCATCATCGGAGATTTTACTAATGTTTGTAACATGAAGGGGACAACTCGTCAAGATTTTGGATCCTTTTTTGCTATGTTCTTTCTAGGTGTCATGGTCGAGTGAAGGGAGGACAGTTGACTACTATACGTTCTTAGAAATAATCGATAATAACTGTAAAATTAGGAGTATAATAAAAGCAATAGCGTATTCTTAAGAAAATAACTCGATAACTACAATAAATATTCACCCATATTTAGCAAATCATAAAGTGATGAACAATCTATGTTCATAGAATGAGGACAATACAAGATTCTAGATTTTTCTTTTCTTTTTTTTAAATAAAAGAAAAAGAAAGGGACGAAAACTATTTTACAATTATTGTTATGTCCCTTTTCATACACCCAAAATCAAAGAGACAATAACCCATTACCTTTCTTTATTACCCATATTACACTTCTAGAGAGCTCTAACACTAAAATCATCTAATTTATGCAATGAAGTATGATGGAAAGGTTAATTGAAAAGGGATCACTATCAATATCAATGCAATTTGATCATCAAAGAGATTGTGGCTTATCACAATATCTTATATTATCGTACGGTGAATCTTTTGACACTTTATTTATTTATTTTTTACAACTTTATAAAACGCATTGCTGTAAATTTCATATAGTCACTAAACTTTTAAAAGTGTAAGTTGAGTCTTTAAACTAAAATTAATTTTAATTTGAGTAAATTTTTTTAACTTTAGGCAAATGCGCCATACAAGAGAGTAATAATTTTAAAAATTGTAAAGACATCGGTGAAAATTATTTATGTAATGTAGTTATTAGATTTGAATTCGAAATCTTTGCTCGAGCCATATGGCTTGAATTTTTATCTTATCAAAATCAAATAATCAACTCCTTTGTTTTTTATATATGTAAAAATGTAATTGCCCCCCGGAGCATAGCCTAGTAGTGCAAAGGATAAGAGTGATGTTATCTCACGCCTTGTTGGCAGCCGCAGTGTGGGGGGTTCGATTCCTGAAACATGGAATTAGACTCTTTGTAGGCGCAGTGTACAGGTAACTCTTATTCCCTGACCTGCTAGGGCATATGCCGCAACTTACCTTCCTCACAAAGTTCTAGTGGTAGGGCGGTGGGGGCCTTCAAGGTTGGGGTTCAACTTTTTTTTTTCTTTTTTTTATTAAAATGTAATTCATGGGAATAATCATTTAAGTAGTTATTTTAATTAACGCGATCCATTAGTACCTAGTCTTGCATTTATTTAAGGTAATTTTCTATGTTAGGTACTGCTATTGATAAACTCAATTCTATATAAATATGTACATTTATTATTCTGATAACTATTGTTAATGTTACCTGAAAACTGATCAAAGTAATCGGTTTCAATCCGATTAAAATTTTATAGTTAACTAAATGGTTTTGATTTGGTTCGACATTCCAGCTAAAGAACTATATTTAACTTAATTTCAATATTTTTATAATTTCTCAATTAAATTAATTTGTAATACGAATAATCAATTTTATAATTTCAAATAAAATGGTTTGAAATTAAAACTAGAATTAATAAAACCCAGTTCACGTGTTATACTTTTTTTTTTTTT